AACATGAGCGAGGAGGGGAAGGGGGGGGGGGTTTCGGTAAAGGTCGGTCCGGTTCCATCGAACTTCGGGTCGGGTGGGACCATGATTCGAATCGCGCCAATCGAGTCGAATTCCAAAAATTCAACCAGTCCTCCGGCGGACAGGCAGACAGACAGATGGAGGACGTCGGCTGTTACTATACCTTTTGCAACTTGCTTTTAAATGGTTTGCAATTCATTTTCGGCGCAATTCCCCTAATTTTTCAGAATGGAAGGTGAGTATGGGCGCAATGCGTTGAAAAATCAGCGTTCAAGCCGAATTATCGGCGCGCAGGAGATGATGTTCGGCCAACTTTCCGAAAGGAATCATCATTTTCGGCATTCCTCCTCGTAGTTCCTTTGTGGAAGAGAAGAAATTGAAGAAAAAAAATTCGAGTTGGAAATTGAGTCCACCAACATTCGATCGGGGGTTGCCACCGATGGGAGCTTTTCAGTCGGATCTTGTGTTCCGAAATCCTTCCGAATTAAACCTTCTGTAATCCCCCTTAATGATGATTGTAATTCATTACGGTACATTTTCCCCTTCGTTCCTCAATGGAAGGGGAATAACGAAGTTGGATTTCGGCGCTCGGCATGAATTTTCGGCTGAGAGAGAGAACGATGCTCGGCAGGCTTTGCCCATGTCACCTTAAATCGGGATTTCGGCATTTCTCCCTACATTTCGTCCTTTGCAAAGCACAAAACGGACGATTGGCGACTGAAATTCACCGAGGAAATTGGATTTCGGCAAAAAATGACGATATTCGGCACTTTTCAGCCGGATCGAGCTACAAAAATGAAGCACCTATGAAACCGCCTGCACATTTCGACTCGCAAACATGTGTGAGGAGTTGCTCTCGCATTAGGAATGGGTAATAACGGGTTTAAAGTCGGAGTGACATATTTCAAAATGAGTTTTTTTCACTTTTCACTGAAATGCGGGTGGACCTTTTCTCTTCCTTTCCCGCTGCCCTTCTGACCGAACTCCCACTCGTAAGAACGTCCAATAGCAATCTCCCCAAAAATGTCTCAAATTTGCATTTGCAAATTTGCGTTTGCAAATTTGAGAACCGAGGAATTCCGAGGAACAATCTGTGAGCATTCGCTCGCAATCATTTCGATTCCATTTTTTGCTCCTCGATAGCGAATTTTAGCCGAAAAGGGTCACGTGATATTTCAGATTCCGCTTCGAATCTTGAAATTCAATTGGCCGAATTCCAAATTCAGTTTCGCGTGGGACAGTAACGGAAGAATGTTCCCATCGGAACGCCGAAAATGAAATACTCTTGCCAGCGGATTCCAATCGACTTACAGCATTTTTTTCACCGTAAACTCCATTGTAGGCTGAATTTAAGGTGTTTCTGGCAGTCTTAAAGGTTTTCATTACTTGAATAATCAAATAGCCCTCCTAAATAATAGTCTTCCGTAATCAGGATTTTGAAGGGAACTTGCTCGCTGACGAACTTGAAACACCGCGGACGATCTCGGGGTGCTGGTAGCCGTATTTCATTTGCAGGTCGATGGGAAACGCCGAGAATGGCTTTTCATTGCCGAAATAGAATGTCTCCGAATGGGATCCAGTTCTCATGGATGAAAGCCGATTCTGATTTGCCGAAACTTCTGCCACTTTTCGCACATATTTCCAACGACATTCTTCACTCGCCGAAAATGAATTGCAAACCATCTAAAGGCAAAAGGTATATAAGGCTGATCGCACTCGTGTGAGCGGGATCCGCTTCCGTGTGAGAAAATTTCAACGGGCATAAATAAATCTGGGTTGGGACCATAGATTAGAGAGTATAACTAGAGGCGACACTCCGCTCGAATCCTATTCATCGACAGGATTGCAATGTAGATGTCGCTGTCGATTCGATCATCTACCTGACTTGCGCACATCAACAACTCCATGTCCGAGCAACCGACTCAGCGAGACCGCGTGTTACGCACTGAGTTAAGAAAAAGAACTGGAGATGGTGCGCCCATAGGAGTAATATGGGGGAAACGGTTGCATTTTGAAGCAATGTTGGCTGGGATCAGGCTAAAGCGGGTCTGCGGTGCGCATTGGCGGAGTAGTGGGAGTAACAGGTACCGCGGGAACATTGGAGCAGCCCTTCTAAATACGGAATACAATGCCAATACCCGCCGACACCTCTACGATGCACCTCATGGTCGCCCACAGTCTCCTTTAGCCTATGTTTACTTTTGAACGTTCACTCGAAGTTCGTTTGACTTAATGGCTTAGACTTATGTCGACCGTGATGATGCAAGGGCGGCGTGACGTTATCGCCTTCGTAGGCCCACCAATCTCATCAAAGGCAGGCCTGGAACTTAGAGGCCCACTCGAGAAATTGCAGACTCGCTCACATAAAAGAAGAGTTCTGACATGATGTTATCAGCCCTATGATACTCCCCCAGAATTAAGGCCTCCAGTACCATGCCTGTCTACCATCACGTTCACAACAAGAAAACTGGGATGGAAAATTATGATAATCCCATTGTAGTGAATGGAGGAGAGCCACCATGGCTTTCGATTGCAGCAAATCCATTCTATTGTGCGCCACCTCCAGTTCTTTTTCTTAGCTCAGCGGTGTTACGTTGCTGGATCCCTTTGGGTCGAATCCCCGAACGAGTCGAATCCCGATTCCGCTGCCACGAAGTACACCTCATGGAAGTGTTGTTGATAACAAGCCACCAGATGTCTCTGTAATATTTCGATCCCCCCTCGGAGTGTCGCCTCTTGTTACACTCTCTACTCTATGGTTGGGATGGCTTCCGAAGTGGACTATCCGCAGAATTTTGCGATGTACAGGGTGTCCCACTTATCGCGGACGATTTTAATCGCATATAAAATTCTTCCTATTGGAGCAAACTAAACAAAATTTTCACAGCATTTATACAACTGTTTAGCATTTGTTGTGACAAAGTCTCAGCCAAATCAAATACAGAGATTATGAGCTATGAACTTCAACGTGGCCCCCATCGATTTCAAGCACTTTACCCAATCGTTCGCGGTATTCAAACAGAGTTTTCACGCGCATTTCAACGGTAATGTCTACAAACGCAGCGGTAATTCGTTCCTTCAGTTCGGGTATTTCCCTCGGTTTGGTCGAGTAGACTTTCGACTTGACAAAGCCCTACATGAAGAAGTCCCACGGCGTCAAGTCCGGCCCCCCAACCTCATTTTGGCAAAGAAGTTCCTGCCTGGCTGAAAAAAGTTTCCGGATCGAAGGATGGGTCGCGGATCGCCGGCTATGCGCTGGCCGGCGAATTCTCCCGACTTAACGCCGTGCGATTGTGTGCATCTGCTGGCCGTGCTCTGACCTTCCCAGGCATGCGCGCTGTACTCGATTCAGGTTTTCTTCCGCCCTTTTGGTTTAGTCTTCGTTGTTCTGGTGAGGCCCTTCGTCGCGCTGGCACGTTTAGTGGACCTCAATCGTTTTTTTAATTTCCTCTAGTCCCCTCAAAGGCCAAAGAGTGAGAAAGTCAACCTATTCTGTGGAATAATGGGTCAGTTGGGTCAGTAAGGGTAGCGGTCTTCGGCCGCGATTATTTTCTAATCCATCTGACCCATCACATTTAAAATAGCTGACTTTCTCGCGCTTCTGGCCAAACATAGAAGGAATGCGGCTCGTTTGATCTGTGTTCATCCTGTCTTCTCTGAGGTTAGTTTGCTTTCATGAGGAAAACCTAATTACACTGGTGAAACAGTATGAGTGTCTAGCATCCGGATGATTGAGTTATTCTTTTTTGGGGGGGATTTTTATGATTGGGAGCATAAGACTTTCTGTTCAAACGGTAACGGGCGCTCTCACCCTTCTGTTCAAGATGTCTACCGCTACGTTGAACGTGCTCGCGCATACAACCCACACTTTTTAACATTGAAACTACTGCTTCTTTTCTTTTATTTTCTTACTGTTAAAATATGCAACAACGCATTCCACTCATCTAGAGATAGCGATTGATATATCACATGTGCCGTTCGACGGCTGGTCCACTTCGTAAGTATTTCCTTTCAGGGTAATTTTTAATTAGCAGTAAAATAGATTCAATGAGTAATCGGATGTAAAGGACGTCGTTGAGATCTAAGAGATTGCGTACTTCGATTCAGGAGAGAGCACTAAAGAAGTGGCATAGGGGGAAAAAGAAGCGAAATAACTTTTTAATTAATAAATAAATTAGCATGTTATATTTTTTCTGCAAGCCTTCAGAGGACGTCGGGCATTCTTATGTAGATCGTTCGCACCCGCGAACTTCGCGAACTTCGCACCCTTGGGTATTCAAGAGCAGGGATCTTCGGCGCCCCGCCCGGGCCATTACGTCTGCTAGCTATGGTATGTCCTTCCCAGACATAGGTGTTGTACTCGAGTCAAGTTTTCTTACGCCCTTCTGGTCTAGTCTTCGTTGTTCTGGTGAGGCTCTTCATTGCGCTGGCACGCTTAGTAGACCTCAAATTGTTTTCCTCCAGTTCGGTCAAAGGCCAAAGAGCGAGCAAGTTAACCAATTTTTGGGAATGATGTTGGGTTAGAAAAGGGTCTCGGCCTTCGGCCACGATTATTTTCTAATCCAACTAATCATCCCCCCAATTAGGCTGACATTCTCGCTCGTTCGGGCAAACATAGATGGAATGCGGCTCGCTTGATCTGCCATCTTCCTGTTTTCTCTGAGGCTAGTTAGGATATATAGCAAAAACTCAAAAGCATTGAGCGAACATTTTGAGGGTCCATCTTTCAGGTGATTGAGTTCTTCTTTTGGGACATACAGGGCTCATGTCATGAGGACCGAAGGCAAGGGTAGGCTGGCAGGAGAGGACGAACAAAAATCCAGGGGGCAGTCAGGACCTGAATCCCTTCCTAGAGGATGGCCAGTCAAATGCGCTACCATTGCACCACCGAACCCGAGTCATGCTGAAGCATTCCCCATCACCACACATGGGCTTTCTGTTCCAACGAAAACGGACACTCTCGCCCTCCGTTCAACGTGGCTATGCTCCACCCCACGGTGAACGTGCGCGCGCACGCCATTTCATGTTTGCCTATCTACGACTCACACTTCTTCATATTAAAATTACTACTTCTTTTCTCATCTTTCGCAGATAAAATATGCACCAACGCAGTCTACTCATCAAGAGCTTGCGATTGATGTACTACATGTACCATTCGACGGGTGGCCCAATTCGAATGTCTTTCCCCCGGGGAAAATTTTCCATCAGCAGTAAGAGAGATTCAATTAGTAGTTGGAAGTAAAGGGGGTCTTTTGATGCAATAGACCGATCCAAGAGAGAGCATTAAAGAAGTAGCGTCGGGAAAATAACTAATTAACTTCAAAATTAATTAATCAAATAACACTTTATATTTTTTATGGAAGGTTACAGACCATGACAATCAATATGAGATTACTGTCACCTCCATGCAACCTCTCCTTCATGGTTAGGTGATTCGGTTAACTGCGTATTATATATGTAGATAGATGGTTCGTATTAGCATCGCTAATACGAACCATCTATCTCCATCATCACTCAGCCATTCAGTCGCGATCGTTCACACATTTTATACTAGAATACATAGGAGGGCCTGCTACTCAACGTTTCCTAAGCTGCTAGGAAATGAGGATGAATTTCCTGCAGAGCTGCTTTCCATCTCCGTCTCTTGAGAAGGAATTCGAGTGGCAAAAGATGAGGCTCTCAATATCTTCAGAAAAGCGGAAAGAATTTCCTAATGCTTCTCTTCCTCTTCCAATCTGTATACCACTTGTCAGTTCTTGCGTCTCCAATAACCCATGATGAACACACACCCAGCCGAAATACCATTCACCAATTCATGAAGCAATATACCATTGTGTCACCGGCAGGGAAACCATATGATTTTTTTTCTTCAATTTAGTGGAAGAGGAGAATGCGAACTCCTACAACTCCCTGAACAATTCAAGAGCTTCGGCCTAGTGAACTTTCTTGGGAATCATTCGAAACTTCACTCTTCAACACATGCCTCAATCAAGCCACCACTTTTTCTGGGCATAGAGCATCTAGCTCCAGGTGCTCGCCTGTTAATTGATGGCTACTCTCGAAAGGATTGGAAGCTCCTCGATTTCCCGACAAGGATTCGGAGAAATCGAAGATTTCCTTTCCTACGTTATGAGAGGATTACAGAAATCCAGAATGAAAACGCTTGGAGCAAATAGAAGGAAAGCTCCACTGAGAATTGAGGAATGCAGAATGCTAGCAGGAATAAATGAATCGTTCATAGATTAATCTCGGACAAAAGCCATCATTCACAAATCTTAAATTTCAACCTTAACCGTAATAGTGCTGCTATTCAAAAATTTTCTTTAAGGTTCAGCTGAATTCCTAGTGGAAATTCAGAGATGAATTAGTGGTGGTAAAACATATGACAGAACACGCAAAACCTTATTTAGGTCATAGATCAGGACTGAGATCACGAATAATTGCTATAATCAGGGGTTGCGCTAGGTTTCTTGGGGTCCCCGGGACCCTCAGGTCTAATATGGAAGGGTCCCCTGATTAGTAAGGGGGTTACTTTCCAAGCGAAGCACGAGGGAATCTTGAAGGGTTCCCCAAAATTAAAAGTCCAGCGATGCATGTTTATCTGCCGACTTAACATAACCAAGCAGTATCGTATTCAATCCAGCGGTCTCAGGCCTTCTGCTTGTGCGTCCTTGGTGTCCCGGGACCCCCAAGACGGATGGGCAGGAGGCGAGCACAATAAACTTAGTGCAACTCCGAAGAATAATCATATGCATTTTCTTTCTAGAAATTCCCTATTCTTACTGAATACTTTACTACATGCTTCTAACCAAAATTGTCAATGAAACAGACGAGGGACTTACTTGAGTTGTCGGAACGTGCGGATGATGAAGAGGTAAGACAAGAGGATGATGGAGACGGGAACGACGAATCCGAAAAAGAGGAGAAAGATATAATAAGCCCGGTTACTCAGGGTCCGGGTGTAAAAATCCCAGGTGCAGGACGTGAGGAACGCCTCGGGGACGTAGTCGCTCCATCCCAGGTATGGGGGAATCACCAGGGCCAGGCAGTAGAACCAGATCCCGATGCACACCTGAAGGGATGGCAAGCGTCGTTCAGCCTCCAATTCAAATAAGCAGGCCGCGACGAACGAAGCGTCCTGACTTTGAACCCAGCAATTTCCGTTACATTTTTCACTAAATTTCCTCTGATGCACAAGATGATGTGTTTCCAAAGAAGGAGCGAAATTTAACAGATATTTTTCCCCAAAACGAGACAGGGAATAAATATTTGAAATACATTTAAAATGAAAGTAGCCCGGTTGATGATCAATTGGTGGAAATGACTTCGAGTTGGGGTTGCATGTAATCATAGAGCCGATTTGAATATGAAATTTCTTTTTCCTAGATTCGTGTAAGGTATGGATCCCACGGACGTCCCTCAAGGCAAGGCCAAGTGTTCGTATAAATTATAATGTACAGCAAAACCGAATCACGGAAGATCTTTTCGACACTGATTTCTAAACGATAAACCTTTTTGGCGAATAGTGGCGTGGGTTTGGAGAATTTCGAGGAAGGCGGAACGATGACGAGGCATCTCTCCACGGCGATGGCGGACAAGGTCATGATGGACACCAGACCGAACAGCCCCACCATCCCTGCGTAAAATTTGCATCCTGAAAAGAGAATATGGAAAAAAAAATCAGTCACGTTTGATTTCCTTGAGCTGTGCTCTCCCTGACGCAATGAGAGACGGGCAAGCATCCTCTTCCGAAGGAACTGACGGAACCGCATGGCATCGCTGTCCGTTCTCATAATAGGCAATTAGTCGTAATGGGGAGAGGGAAGGGATGAAGAGCACCGAGAAATAAGGTGCTCGTCAAACCGCAAAAGCATGAACGAAGATGGAGGGAGGTCCTTTTTATTTTTAGAAAGGAATGGAATTAATTTTTTCCTTTCTTTCGTCTCTTTCCTCCCGTGACCCCCATATTTGCGATCTGGGTTGATCCAATCACACGTGGCTGCGTGGGCAGATGTGCATTTGTGCTGGACAGAGTGAAAATGACACGAAGGGCATTGCTTCGATGTTCGGCGGGATTAGATTCTCCATCCTTTTAAGGCGTTCTGATGAGCCTTTTCCTGAGCTTTTGAGACCTTAAGTCGGACATTTCTTTATGATCTCTTCAAGAGCGGCTTCAAAGGAACCTTCACAGCTTCAAAGGATGATCTTCTAAATTAGCCATGGAGTGTTGTAGCGATATTGAGTTATTGCCGATATTGGGTGCTATATTGCTCGTGATTAACTGACTGTGTATCACGATCGTGTGTCAAAAATCATTTTAAGACGCCGATATAAGCCACTACCACTTTGTCAATCGTTGAAGTGATTAAAAAAAACCTTCCCAGTAAGTCCGTTACGCAAAACAAAGAAAGGCACGGAAGAAGTACTCGAGTACCTGCGTTCCCGAACTGCCACCCGTCATTGAAGGAGGAGACGGTGGCCATGGAATGCATGAGGGAGTTCCCCAGGTCCGCCGCCGCCAGGTTCAGCACGAACACCGTCGCCGTCTTCCGCAGACACCGATGTCTGTGGGAAGCACAGACCAAAGCTCATGCGACGAATGCCTCCTCAAGCTAAAAACCGATGCTTGGGAATAATGGGGAAAACTGTTCACTCAAGTCCACACCGTTTCCCGATAACTTCTTATCTTTAGTATGCGATCCAACAGCTATTTCTTTTCCTTCCCGCTTCCTTGAAGGAGGAAAGTGTATGAGAGTAGTATAAGCCTAAGCGTCCATCCATCCGAGGTCAATCCCCCTCGAAATATGCCCCCAGGGCATGTACCTCCGATGTCGGACTTTCTCTAGAGTCGGCAACCTAGCAGCTATTCACGTTCCTTCCAGTTTCGTTGAAGGGAGTGTGTGTATGCGAGTGGCCAAGGACTAATTGTCCCTCCCTGTGTTAGGCCTAGGCCAACAATGCGAGTCCCCCCAAAATGGGACCTCAGGGTATGTACCTCCAATGTTGCAATATTTCTGGAGTCAGCAATCTAACGTGTACTAAGTTTCAGCCTCTCATCATTTGCAGAACATGGTTAGAATTAGCGCCAGTCACTCGCTCACTCACGTCTATATACAAGGAGGTCCAAAAAAGGGCACTCTTTTAAATAAACATTTTAGGTGTGATGCTTTCAAGGATATTTTTTCCGATTTCAGGTAATGGAAAGAAGAAAGACTCAGCCTCAAAATGCTTTTTCCAGACTTGAAATTTGTTAAAGGATAACTTAGAAAAAAAAAAGATTGAATTTCAGTGACGAAAAATCGGCGTGGCGCTCTCCCTCTCCCTCTCCCTCTCCCTCTCCCTCTCCCTCTCCCTCTCCCTCCCCCCACCAATCGGATATTGAATAGGGTGGATTTCCCCCTAGGTGAAAATGCAACTGCTGACGGACATTTTGTAAGGGCAAAGCCTTACATGCTTTAGTTATTCCTGTTCCCCAAAATACTTCGGTTTGACATCGTCTATTCCTACCCTCTTCGACCACTGACAAGAATCTCAGTGCTGAGAAGGAATCTGACCATCAAGTCCCACGACCTTTCTAATGGAATGATATCGATCCCTCCAATAAAAAAAATTGCAAGTCCGTGGGCGTAGAAATTCCTGTAAGATCCTTTGAGACCGTCTCCGCAACGCCCTCCGCATTGCGGAGGCGACCCCATCCACTTCCCTCCTCCCCCCCCCCTCCCCCGCCCCCGCCCCCGCCCCCGCCCCCCAACAGAAATGCGAAAGAGACAAAATTGCCACGACGCGAGCTGCGAGTCTTCCAACCCCAGGCGAAATCCCGCGCATCGCTTTCGATTTCCATTCACTTGCAAGTCCCAATCCTTACTTGGAATGTAATGGAGCTTTCAGTTGCACCATTATTACTTTTTACCTTCAAACACTATTAATTTTTTTATTATGGGCTACTTAAGGATCTACTGAAGGGGTGTTACATTTGAGACGAATCCTGTGATGGAATTTTCAAACCTGGAAGGAATCGATTCCCTTAAAAAAAAAAATATCGGAAATAGAAATCATCGCCAACGCGAGCAATTTTCCGCATCAGTTCACGCGACCACGAAATGTTTTCGTGGCACGAACACGGCACGCAAGGAGCCGCAATCGAAGTCAATTGAATTTCCAATAATCGAAGGTCGTGAAATATTGAGTGGGGAGCTGCCGATCGATCTTAGAAGAGGAGAAAAATGAGAGGGCGAGGGGATCGGGGAATCGTGACTTCTTCCGCATTTTCTGCCTGATTTTCCTCGAGTGGGAACGGAACGTGACGAAGGTGGAAAGGATTTTGATGGGAGTCACGCGGGCGTGCGACCCTCGACACGAATTTCATTCGAAAATTCCCGGAAGAATCGTCGATCTCGGTCCCAGCCAAGAACGCGGAAACTTCGACGAAAAAATAAGAGAGAGAGAGAGGGAGAGAGGGAGAGAGGGAGAGAGGGAGAGAGAGGGAGGAACTCCTTTCTGACCTTTTCCGGTGTTGTATCGACTTTCTTGTTGATCTCCTCCGAAGGGGGGGGGGGGGGGGGGGGGGGAATGGCCCAGAATGACAGAGCCTTGATGGCCTGGCGCTTTAGGCCTTGGATGGCCTGAAATGGCATAGCATTGTAGGCCTAGCACGTTAGGAGTGACAGCCGCCACGACTTTTGGCCTCTTTCAGTTAAAGTATTAGTTATTAGATTAGATTAGATGTTCTTGGGGTCCATTTGGGTTACAGCTGATGGTACTCGCACACATTGTTGTTGGCAGCTAAGCCAAAATGTTCTCGGCAAAAGATGAAGTTGCCATTGGGATTCAGAGGTCTCCAGTTCATAAAAATAATGCAGTTCGTAAATTGTCAAAAAAAAATAAACTGATTCCTTGCTAAATATGCAACCCACGCAACATGCATCGTCTTGCAATTCTATATGAATTCAAGAATCCTAGCCCCCCGGGGAGATTCTTCGAAAATTGTTTTCCCAACTCCTCTTCATGGTCTTCCGCCAGCCACGTCTATCAGTCGCACTGTAGAAATGGCGTCAAACTTCGGGCGCGAATTCGTTCAAGAGACACTAGCACTCTGCTCCAGGAAGCGCTGACGTTAGTTCGAGGGCCAACCACCAGGGCATAGACCGCCATTGCGGTTACCCTGCTTTCGCGCAGTGTCCAGTCTTCTTAGTATAAGGTCTTTGGGAACCAGCTTCGAGAAGGGAGAGGCGAGGAGTGGCAGGAACCTCCCGAGGGAATATTCGATTCGTCGCCGCCCCGGCGTCTTCGATTCGTGTGTCTACGCTCCCCGTGATACAAAAGACGCGACCGAAATCTTTGGAAATCTGTCGAGGCCTTCGTCGAGAGGCCTTCGAAAACAGACTTTCATTACTTTCGCATGTCTTCGTCGGCGGAGGTCCGGAGATTTTCGTATTGTCTCCGCTGTACAAGGCCCGGGACAGAATCGAATACGCTCGTTTTTTCTGGCGGGAAAACAGTTCCTCCGTGGCTCTCGTGACGTGCGCACCGAGTTTTTCGTCTCTCGATCGATAAGGGACGACGCCGAACCAAGATCGAGAGGCGATCGTGAGTTATTTCCCTTTCCATCAGTCGAGCACTCCCAGCGAGCTTCTTTCACTAATTTTGAGGAAAGAAAGAACCTCAGCGAACAGCAGCATTCAAAGAACGGAGAGCGAAAGAGGCTCTCGCCAGGCCAGGAGGCTCTCGTCGCCCTAGGGCCTAGGCCGATTCAACTGCGTAGGAATCTGCTTATGCAAACTTAGCCTGTCGTTTGCCGCTTTCATTTCCAAAAATGATGCACTCGGCACTGATCGATGTGATTTTCGCAGTGACTCTTTCGTCTAATATGCTTCACTTACGCCGACGTAATTCTCAATGCGTTCTCAATGTTCTTTCTTGTCGAAGGAAGGTGGGGGCCTTGGGCCTTGACCTTCATATTTCATGGCGTTTTTAGTTTTTATTTAATTCGAAGTGAGAAAATCAGGCTTCACGCATTTCATTTCACCGAAGCGTTTTCACGTGACTCGTCGGCTGAGTCGGCTGATCGAGGAAAGCAATGCAAGCTGACAAGCAGAATAGGGGGAAGGAGATGGGGCTCAACTCCCGAAACAAAATTGGGGCAATGCCCTAGCTACGGCTTAGAAATGAACGGGGATTCGCCCTTTCTGGCTCAAAACCTTGCTTCGAAGCTTCTCTGAGTGTAAATCCAGGATCGTGCGTGCTTTCGCGATGCAATTTCGGCGTTAATGGTGTCTTGGTGAATGGAGAACGTTTTAATTCTCAAGGTTAAAACGGGTCCGAAATATTGCGGCTGTTTTGTACTAATAGAGCCTCGCACTCGTGCGACGACACCCCCATATATGGAATGGACTGCCTCAGTCCATTCCATAAAGATTCCTGCCGAATTTTGGCTTGAATCGGCTTCCTGCAATGCCGATGCCGTCTGGATGTCGAAAACGAATGTCGGCGGCGTCATCGGTGATTTTTGGTGGCTTATCGCTGTGGGCCAGAACCGCTGCAATTCTTTTCCTTTTGGGTTTCATTGAAATCATTTTATAACAAATTGATTTTAAGCAGGGTTCGTCAAACAGGTGTGCTGAAACAGGCCTGCCTTTTTTCTAAGACGGAAAGGGGCTGCGCACAAAAAATTGAGAATCGGCGCCACATCCCTTATGAAAATGTCCCATAGGAATCGTATAGTAAGTATCCTATAGGTTTCTCATTGGACCTATCATACTGCAGACGTAGGAATGTCCTTGGTAAGGGGGGGGGGGGGGCAAATGAGAGAGGTGAGTTTCGAAATTCGAAAAATTGCTATTTAATTCAAAAGCGATCAGTATATCAAATTCATGTGAAACTAGAATATAAATATTTCCATATTTCCTTTCCTCGGTTTTCTTGGCAAAATATTTAATCAATTTATCTAATTCTAAGGAGTCCAAAATTTACTGACGTGCATGCATCATTGTGACGTATGTCAGGTGGTTTTGTGTCATCCTCGTCTGCATTCAATTCTTGAGCCGCCTCAATTCTGAAAAAGACCACTCTGCTGATGCATACACAACATGCGTAGCTAAAAAGCCGCGGCCACCTTCACTAACATGCACAGGTTCCTGTGCAATCTTATCCCAAAATATTGTACAACACCAACACCGTTGGAGTTTTCCATTCCTGAATTTTTTTCTTCATATTTTGCTGTATTTCTTTTCGTAATGAAATAAAAAAGCGTTTTAGTTTGAGCATTTCTCTTCTGTGACCCGGCGCTGAACCTTTTTTTTTTTTTTACTGTTCTACCATTTAAATTTTTCTAGCCAGACTCATGACTGAAAGGGGACTGACTCCGAAACCTCCCTTCTTTTCAAAGAAAGACTTTAGAGAACGGAGGCCAAGTCTAATTCGATGGAAGGTCTTGAACCTGAGACAGATAAGAACTCCCACTGAGTGCCTGTCAAATGTGTCCTACGACGCCATTCTCCCTCAGGTATTAACCTCGTTTCAAGCTAAATTTATTTTCGAAACCTCATTGAATGTCACGAAGGTTCTTGAGTCGCAACTCCCCTGTGTTCAAATGACTCTTAGGTTCAAGAAGTGTGGGAGGGGAGAGGGAAAATATATCCTTTGCCCCCTCCTCCCCACCATCTGGAGAACGAAGGAGCATTTGCCACCCTTGCTCCCCCAGTTCCTACCCCCCGTGGGATCCATAAGTTTTCTATAAGAATGTGCAGGTGTACATTAGGCTTCTTATGGGATCTACTAGGTTCCTAGGAGGATCTCAAACGGTTTTTTTTTATCACTTTTTTCGCATTTCTCCTTCATTGAGAGACGCGAATGATTCCTTCAGGGTGCTAGAGAGGGAGAGAGTTCAAATTTGATTTCACATGGCCATTTTCATCTCTCATGAACGTTCCTCACCCGTGAATAACCCTCGTGTCTTCTAGATTGTGACCTTATTCCTGGAATCGAATTCGAAAAATCTCCAGAACGACATGCCACTCACCATTGACGCGATGAGAACCATTGTCCTGGCCCTCGATCCATTGATGAGCGGCCCCGTTCTACCCTTTCGGCGGTACGATGTACAGGGTTGAGTCGAAATTTATGCAACTCCTGTTTGCATAGTGGAATCCCTAGGCACACAGCCGTCGAAATTGTCCCTTTGTCGCATTGAGTGACACTCGGGAAGGGATTCTACTGGGTAATGGATTAACAAAGCAGCTATCTTGCTAAAGAAAGTAAAGGGAATGGTACGTAAATGTGAACATCTATTGCTTTCATAATTCCATCGCCAGGGTGGAATTCAAGAGAACATTGAAATTCGAGATTGAAAAATTTATCGGTGAAAATGGGATTTTCATCTATAAATGTATGCGATAAAGAGCAATGAACATTGTGTTCCAATACAGGTTGCATCCTGTCGATAGCATTTGCTTGTCACTTCTTTATAGTATGAATCATACAAGTGCGATCCCTTATGGGCGACTGATGGGTATTCTTGATATGTTTATACTGTATAATCCAGCGCGACAAGGGTGCCTAA